CCCTTTGAGACCAAATGAACTGTAACCCTTGGTTGACTTAACCGCTCAGCTGCCCTGGACAATGCCCATTTCGCAATCTCAAGAGGATCTACAAGGTCTGAGGGGATTTCCTCGGGCTGGCTAACATCCTCATCACGGTTCGGGTCTAGGGCATGACAATCCTTCACTGCCTGGGCAACGCCAAACAGCATCCAGAAACGGAGACTTACCAAAACCGCCTCAGGATCACTCATATCTAAAAAACCCAAACCAACACCTCCTTTCTCAACACAAGAACATCGCCCCTTAGGCCAGATTCCACTACCTTCGCCCATAAATCCACCAAATACTCCCGAAAGAGACCAACGGAGCAGATGGCTAAACACTTGCGAGCTCCCTAATCCTTTCTCCGACCCTGACACAGTCAGAGTCCGACCGGAGCACTTCCAACCCGCCGGTCGCGAGGAACATGAAAAAAGAACTGATCCAGATGGCCCGTGGTCCAAGGACCGACGCATTCTACGATTCCAAGGAAAATCAACCCATCTCGCGGCATCTTTAGGGGCTGAAGGCACACACGCTCTCGACAGCAACGTCAATGGAACCGCGGGAAACAAACTTCGGAGGAAAGTCAACTGAGTCTCTCCATCTAACACTCCACCTACACACACCCTGACTTTCTCCCGAAGCCACTCCCGTATCTCAGACCAATCCACGACTTCCGGAGTTGCGTAAGCCTCAACCTTAGATACACCCCGACGCTCCTTCACAAAGGCCTCGTACCTTTCCAACAGCCGGAGACCAACCTCCCTTGGAATCAAAGGGCACCCTTTCACAATTTGAACCTCTAGGCTCCCTTCCCTTGGATGTCGAACTTTACACCCTCTCTTCTTCCAAGAGATATTGAACCCAAGCTCTACCAAGTAGTTAGCCGGGAGGATGAGTTGACATTGTCCTACGTGCAGAAGGGTTCCACAAGAATTCACCCGAAGGTCCGTACCACCACTCGCTAAGTCGACCCGAATTATACGGCATCCCTGAAGCTCGCTTTCAGTAGCAGGCCTTAATGCGTTGGTCGCGCCGCTATCTATCAAGCAGTACGAAGGATCCGACGCGCTCGTTAAAGCAGACCTCAGCCAGGTTAAATCCAAAGCAGAATCCTCGGGTCGAATGGCCTTCAAGCTCACCCCCTTTAGGAGTTTCGCGGCCTCGGCGAGTAGCGCCTCTTGAGAAACCGTGCCCCCGGAACTAGAGCCCGTCCCTGAGGATCCCGCTGAAGCCACACTGGCATCAGCCTTAGGCCCAGACTCCTCCGTCACTCCCTTGGCTTGTGCAGCAGATTTCGCCTTTGCCTTCCCCTTAGGAGTCCAGGTGATGCATCCGATCCACTATCTGTCTGCACAAGCAGGCACCAACGTGCACTCAGGCCTATAGTGCCCCGACTGCCCACACGCAAGGCAGCGGCCTTCTTTCCTAGCCTTACCCCGGTCATGACGGAACATGCAAGCATCTCCAAAACGACACCCTGATGCATCCGAAAACTTGTTACACAAAGGCATCGTCCCCTCCGAAGGCTTCCCTTTGCCCTTAGCCTTTCCATCCCCAGCCCCGGCACTCACAGCTGCTACAGACGGGCTCGGCCCGGTTCCAGCACTTGGCGGCAAAGGTGGAGTAGGCGGCTGTACTTTAGGTGTTGCACTATTCCCCCCTACGGCAGCATCCCGACCTGCGGCATTAAGAGCAGCACCCCTGGCCCGCTTGTCACTACCCCCTGGAGTCTCCGTCAACGCAGCCGCTTCACTCTCAGCCTGCAAAAGACGGACAAGTTGCGTCACTCCAGCGGTTGTCGGATTGTAGTCCAAAGCAATGCTATGTCTAAAGGAGTTAACTCTGAACCCAATCATGGGGTTACTCACCAATAGCGAAGCAGTAGAACTATCAACCCCCTTAAGAAGCAATGATGCATCCGGCAACGTGGCCTTAACTTCCGATGCCCGCTGGAATGACTGCTGCCATTTCCGAAGCACTCGAACCGCATCCTGGAATCCCTTACAAACTTCAGGCGTGACGAGTTGGCTCAAGAGCTGAGCCCGTTCGCTTGATCCGCCCGGTTGATAGGCGCATAAAATGCGGAACATGATGGAGGCAGTACTTAGCCAACGGTTCGTGATAATGTCTTCACGCACTGACCCCGGGACACAAGCTAAGAGAAGTGTCACCGCCCTTGATTCCACTCTCTGAAACTTGTGGGAATCAAACGAAGCCACCACCGAGCTAGGGTCGAGTCCTAGCCTACCTAGAGGGTCTGCCACTAACCAACGAGAATACCCCTGAGTGACTGCCGACTCAACCGCACCATACCATACGTCAGCGGATGGAGAAAGACCGACTAAGATCTGCTTCACTTGCGCTAGCCAATTACCGCAGATAACCGCGCTAGTCGAAAGGTCAGCCTGAGCTAGTTTAGGCAATTCACTAATGTACTTTGCCGGTTCCTCTGGCCTTTGGTCCCCTGGCCCGGAACTTGGCCCTACACCGGAACCACCCCCTACTAGCGGTCCTGCACCTGGAACCCCAAACACCCCTGGCGCTAAGCCTCCACAGGTCCCGGGAATAGACATCCCAATAGAACCTAAATCCCTCGACCCCGAAGTTTCCGCAAACCCCAACCCTCCGGTGGGCGCACCTGTGAGCACTCCAGGCGGCGGCCGCGGTGAGGCCGGTGGCGGACCAGGAGGCGGACGGATAACCGAACCCCCAGGTGACAATGGGTAGCCCTGGGCATCGAAACCTCCCCCAGGCCCTGAAGACCTTGGTGTCTGAAACCCTGCATTCCCTGACCCCTGGTTGTTCATAACCTCCTGAGCGAACTGCTTAAGGGTCTGTGGTCTAGCTATGTCCTCGATCTCCCTACCTGACAATCCAGAGGAGGCTATCGCAGCTTGCTCATGGCCCATTTGGAACCCCAAACCCTGTACACCGGTAACACCGCCAGTCACTTCGGGGCCCAGATAGCCTTCATACCCTACCAAAGCATGAGGTCCTGGGGTCATCCAAGCATGCTGGGAGCCTACACCTCCAAAGCACGACGCCTTCGGAATAGGAGTCCTAACATGTCTGGGATCCGGAACATTGGCGAACCACGCCTCAGGCGGTATCTGTACAGAGGAAGCTGGGCCTAAAGGAGCCCTCAGCATCTCAGAACTCATTCCTCAGGGACCACTCATAGAAAACGAAACTGGCGACATAGCAGCAGATCCTCCTTCACCCGGCGTTCCGCTGTGCCAGGAGGAGTGAGATTTCAGCTCCATCTGTTCCAGACGTCTTTTCAGATTCCTATTCTCTTCCATCATCTGCATCAGTAGTCCCTCAAACTCAGGTGGTACAGACCGATCAGGCACCAACTCGTCTTCGGCCGGTTGTCCCGCTTCTGCAGCTCCACCCGGAAGCTGAGTACCTGAAGTCATGGCCGTCGTCGAACCAGCTCCTCCTTGGCTTCCCTCCATGATCAATGGAGTTGTAGTAAAGCCCGTTCCTTGTGGACTTTCCAGCCCACCCACCGCAGCTTCCACCCTCGCAACTCGAGGGCCCTGACCAAGAGCCCCTTGGGCTCCAGCATTCAGAAAAGCTTCGGCATAGTTAGGCTCAACCGCTTGATCACGGGAAAAATCATCTCCAGCAACTGAGTCTCGGGAGGCTACAAGTCGCTCTTGATCCTCATCTAATGCTGGAGGTCGGCTACGGCGGAGCTCAATTTCCGCCTTTGCCTTTTCACTGTAGAAGGGATGGGCCAACGGAAAAGATTGACTCACCTCGGGCCTTCTAGCATCCCCTGATTCCAATGTCCCTGGCGAAGCCTCGCCCGGAACACCGCCACTCACAGGCTCCTCACTGGCGCCCATGCCAGAGAGTCCAGCGCTCTCTGTCTGACTCAAGGCTGTTAAATAGGCTTGCTCCTGAGCGGCACTCGCCGCTTCCGGGTCAACAGCTCCAGTCCCACGGCGCTTGCGGGTCATGGGATCCATAGCGAGCCTAATCGACCTCCTAGATTTACCAAGATTGCGCAATAACTAACTCAAAACCCACTAGGCCTACGGCTGATAACCTACGTGAAATGATGGACGAATCTTACGATAGAACCCTGAGAACCCTTGAGACACACTGCCTACGGGCCTCGGACACACCGATCTTTTTCGAGACAAAAACAGCCTGGTCGGCGAAGAAGCATGTCACCTGTGCGTCGGGACTTCTCTCTACGCAAAATGTGCTTAAAACTCGAGTTTTGGGCATGTGAAGTAAGGAAATGCACAGCGTCAATTATGCACTACGCTCTTAGTAGTAGTAGTAGTAGTAGTAGTAGTAGTAGTAGTAGTAGTAGTAGTAGTAGTAGTAGTAGTAGTAGTAGTAGTAGTAGTAGTAGTAGTAAGTATACAATAATTAGTAGTAGTAGTAGTAGTAGTAGTAGTAGTAGTAGTAGTAGTAGTAGTAGTAGTAGTAGTGGTAGTAGTAGTCGTCGTCGTAGTAGTAGTAGTAGTCGTCGTCGTCGTCGTAGTGGTAGTAGTAGTCGTGGTAGTGGTAGTGGTAGTGGTAGTGGTAGTGGTAGTGCTAGTGGTAGTGGTAGTGGTAGTGGTAGTGGTAGTAGTGGCACAAGCAGCAGTGGTAGCAAGGCAACACTTTTTGCAGTGATCTTGGTGGCAGTGGTTGTGGTAGTTGTGGTATGCAGGGGATGTGGACGTGGTAGTGGCAGTCGACGTCATCGTCGTTGACAGTTTGTGGTCTGTGTCACAGTTGTCGTCGTTGCTGCTATTGAAGAAGTCTTTGTCATTGTTGCTGCTGATCAGCTGATCGTCGTGGTAATTGTGACGCTAATGTCACGCTTGCGGTTGCCAGCGCCTTGGCCGCGGCTGTAGTGACGGGCGGCAGCGGTGGTGGTGTCCAAGGTTCTGCTGATTCACTGCTGCTTGTTGCAGCATGTTTCAGCTGTTCTTCATGTGATGGTCCTGTTGTTGTTGACACGGCGCCTCGACCACCGCTGGCGTCTCCGGATCGATGGAGTCCGCTTCCTCTGCTGCAATCGCTTCCTCCGCATCCTTCCCAGCTCACGGCTTCAAGCTCAGTTCACGAGTCGATGGTTGCAAATGGACGGGAGAGGCTGCCCTTCTGCCACCTTCAACCCTCACCTCAACGCCCAATTCTAAATCGAACTGCAGCCGTGGTAAAGGTCCGCATCCTGAAAAGCGATACCTCAAGCACCAGTCCGGCGAACTTACTGCAGCCACATACCCGACAAAGCGAAATGTATCTCACGGTCAGAAGTCCGCTAACAGCCCAAACTCTAAGCGCTTCATCCCTAAAGCTAGACCCCAAGCCCTAAATTCCTGAAACCCCAAAACTCGAAAGCCTGACGTTTGACACGCTAAGGCTCTAAGGCCCTAAACCCGCCTCATCCTCCAGGCCGACCTCCGGAGGGGCAGGGACGATACCCGGAAGACCCGCCACGGGCATCGGGAACCTCGGTTGCAAAAGGGACTTCGGATGTCGGCATCGGGTTTGCAGGGTTGTGGGTTGGTGAGGGTGCTTACCCTGCGATCGCCACGGGAGCACATGCGCATTGGGGCTTCGAGTGCCTGAGTCATCATTGCTTGGCCTGTAGTTGCTTGTGACTTTGCCTCAACATTCCAAATTACCACTGCAGGAATGCATGGGATGACAGAGGCTATGCTATGCTTGGCCCGTTCACCTTGGATGCCGTGTCGGGCTTGGGACTTGCTGCAATGAGGCTTCCTGCTATTTTTCCCTCCTACTTGCCAAGGACGGAGCCCGCATTGCAGGGTACTTGGTTGACTGCTATCGTGTTTGGGGTTCCATCGTTGAGGCTAACCTGCGAAGTTCTGGCGAGACGAGTGCAGGCTCCTGCCGTGGCGTACTGACTTTGGAGGACGTGCAGTTCATCTTTAAGCAGCTTTCAATACTTATTCGTCCAATGCCCGCTTCACTTGCTGTTCGGAAGAAGCTCACATTGAGGTGAGACTTATCGCACTTTTCCATCCCAAGCAGCTCGTTCTGAACCACCTTCAAGCGCTTTGGACCAAAGACGCCTTGGATGATGAGTCGGGGATGCTTACCGGTTGCAGTGCCTGGTGAAAGTCAGCGAAAATGGAGCGCGCGTTTCTTTGTTGCATTGGCCAGAGTCACTGTCTCTAAGCGGAGCTTTGTTCTCGTTTGGGCATATTTCGTACTAGAAGACAACCCCGATCTCTGTTCGGACAGAACTTCGGGTCACACGTATGTGCTTGATCTCGTTCTACGCGGCGCCGCTATCTCGTTCCCCTGGTAGAACGGGTCCCCGCCACAAAAACTTCTGCCACCTTCAGACAGCTCTGCTATTGCACAAATCAACGCAGTCAGCCTGCCCAAAGCTGGGCTCATCCAGCAATGCCTCTTTGGCTACAGTTGTTGACCCATGCTTGTGGCACTTCAGCCCATAACCACTCCGAAATCCTCCAGCGCTTCGCTCCCGATCTGCTTGCTCCACTTAAAACTAGCCACGGATGGTGACTTTTGAGCGCTGCATTGGCCGGCCAGCTGCCTCATCATCGCGAGTAGTCAGGGAGCCGGGTTTCTTCACCAAGAAATTAGAATAAGGGGGGCGGCGGGTGGCCGTGGCGTTGCAAAGGATGCCGTCAGGGCTGCAAACACATCCCAGCCCAAAACGTAGTCTTGGTGGTCTTGGACGTGGTTACGTGGCCAAATACACGGACAGGCGCAGCGAACGCGCCTGGCTGTTCATCGCGGAAAAGGAGACCGCTACCCAGCCAAAGCCTGAACAAGCCGCTGCCGGGGCTACGACATGGAATCCAAGAAATTCCGGAACATGGATTGCCTGTGAGCGAGATGTCCGACGTGACGTGGCCATCCAGCGACAGTGCATCCGGGGTTTTGACATAGCCTCGTCAATGCGCAGTCCAATGCACAACTAGACAAGAATCGCAACCATCAACACAGAAATGCCACAATTAATTTTTGAGCAGGGAATTTGGAACTGCTTCTCACGTTTGTGTAAATGCCATTGGCAGGATCTCCCGTCGGGCTAGGTTTGACTTTTTCCCCCAAGCCATTAATTGGCTTTTAAATTTTAAAAGATCGAGACGCAGAGCTGCGCCAAGTGCAAACCATCTGGCGGATCGGGATAGCCGCGGCCGTCCTGTTGTTGAGCACATCTCTCATGGCGTTCTCAGAAATTGCTGGTGGCATCTGCAGGCCTGGTTGTGTATGCAAGCTTTGATGCAGACGCAGTGTTGGGGTGAAGGCCTGGTGACTCAAGAGTTGGGAATCGTTGGGAAGGCTGCTGGCAGTGGGTACCGGGCACACCACCGGAAAGCTCATTACCTAAAGACTCCTTGTCCGAAATAACCGACCCCCAAGCCGATCCTCACCACCCTTGGGTACATTGGCAATGCAGCCGACGACCTCGGCTAATGGGGTTGGCTCAAACGAAGGAATCTCTGCAAGGCCTGATGCGGCTCACTGCATGTGTACTGCCACAACCAAAACACTGCCTTCCGTGCAGGGCACAGCATGCCTCCGATGCAAGAATGCAAACAGGGGTACACATCATTTATCCATCTTTCTGCCCGTTGCGTCCATACAATATTCTGCCCAACCGAAACCTAATGCCTGAGGGAGCACAAGGTTGTGCACGCCCACGAACGACAGTTGAAGTTGGGCGCTGACAGGAGGGTAGACCTGCCAGGTGACTCATTGGAGTCACGAATTAGGGTGATAAGGAGTTTCGAAACAGTAACAAAGCTCACAGCTGGGCAATCAGGGGCCAAATCCGTGCTTGGGCCTCGATGGCTGCAACTGGCGGCTGGCCGGGGAAGCCCCAAACATACCGCACCGGCCGGTCCAGCCACTGCCTTGCATGGGCCCCGTGCCAGCCCAAATGCATCACTCGACAGTTCGTCATCTAGAGTAGATGTGTGGGAAGCCCCATGCATGGAAACCTGCTTTCCATATACACTCACCAGCAGCGGGAACAGAGATGTGCTTCTGTTGCCTCCTTGCTGAAAGCTTCTGCCTCTAAACTCACGACTCGATGATCGAAAGTAAGGCGGAACCCTTGCAGCCCGGATGCTTCAAGGTCTCCGGTGTCACCTCCTCACCACTGGCCTGCCAAGTCGAAACCGAACAACGACAAGGCAAATAATCCCTCGCGATGCGATTCTTGAGACCATCGTCTGAACACATGCCCCGCCCAGTCCTAAACTGCGCCAGCCAACAACTCATACCAGAACACCCCCAAAGTTCCCAAAGAAGAGATGCACAGCTCCACTCCACTGCATGCGTAACATGGGGTATTCTTGCCGAGTCGTGATTGCGGAAATGTGCTGCGCCACGCAACACCCATCCGACCAAAGCTGTCTGCAGCACCGGAAGGAAGCTCGTGCGGACGCCAGGATGCAAAAGAGCTAACGAACAGACGAGGCCCCAACGATTCCGAAGCAAAATAGCGTTGTCGTTCGAACTCATAGCGGAGTTGTGAACGGCTTCCCACCTTCCATGAAGACGGTAAAATTCACTCGCGATGTTAGTCAGGATTCCTGACGTAAAACGTTTAATCAGTCTCCTTATCAACTCATAGCAGACCCGGTCCCGGATGTCACAATTCCGCACCGCTTACCACTGTCAGTGGCAGCGCTTTCACTACTGGTGTTGCCACTTTCAAGCTTCATTCGTCTATCCTTATGTCAAGTACTGTGCAGATGCGTGACCGTTTCTGAAATTCAATGCAAGACTCCCTTTCAATCACTTTGCTACTGCTACCTGTCTCATCACTACCGCGACTACCAATGACACTGCTACCAAAATCAAGCAACTCTGACGATCAACTATTCCAGCAACCTGTCGCTACAGTCGCTAAGCCCTGGAACCTGTTGTTCATCTTGTTGCAGGGATTAGGGGTACCAGACAAGCGAGACAGCTGCCCCACCTTCAGCTCCTGGAGGACGTCTTTGCCCGGACAAACGGTGTGCACGCCAAACTTCCTGACATGGCCGCTGATCAGTAGCAAAAGCAGCAGTCGTAGAACGCAGTTGTAGTAGTCGTAGTTGTAGTAGTCGTAGTAGCCGCAGGAGTAGTAGTAGCAGTAGTGCTTGTCACCCTCCTGGCACACCTCTGACAGCTCCACCGGGACTAAGATGTCAACAAGTCACAACAGAGCCGACTCATCACAAACAGTGCAACACAAGGTAAGGCCACAAAGTACAGTCGGCTCCATTGATCGGGATCCTACCGAAAGAGTTGCCAGTTCCACAGTGAACAGCGCATCATGCATGAAGCAGTAGTAGTAGTAGTAGTAATAATAATAATAATAGTGGTAATAGTAGTAGCAGCAGTAGTCGTCGTAGTAGTAGTAGTAGTAGCAGTAGCAGAAGTAGTAGTAGTAGTAGTAGTAGTAGTAGTAGTAGTAGTAGTAGTAGTAGTAGTAGTCAAAAGGAATCGGAAAACATACTTACAGAGAACCCATAGGTCATGATGCATCAAGGCGAGGATGGGACATCTCAGCTCTAGTACGGATCTACTTCTGGAAGCCGGTGATTTCAATGCTATGTGTACCCCACTCATTCCAACAACGCTCGTAGATGTTCGTGTAATTGCTTTTCCGTTTGCCAATGCCAGAACCGACAAGCCTCTACCGCGCATACAAGCAAAGAGCTGCCAGTATTGGGGCAGTGTAGCACTTCTTAAGCCAAAAGCTGCTAGGCGTGCCAACATCGCTTTTCTCTGAGGAGTGACGGCGAGAATCCGTGAGGGGTACTAGACTCTCCGAGCTTCAGAAGCAAATTCCACAAAGCCATCTGCAACGGGCCGCCGAAACAAGTGGTAATGGCGCTGTGCACGTTGCCACACTCATGCCCACAGCCTCGTGGGCTGCACATAGTTGTAAGCGCCAATGTCCAGCAGATTCTGCATGCTGTTGGGCTGATGCACGCCTGCTGCAGCAAAAGCTGAGCAAGAATGCCGCTTTGGGGTTGTGCTCGGCTACGGCCTGCTAAAAGCGATGATCAGCCAACTGAAAACCGTCTCTGGACAATGGCTGGGTAGCTTGTTGCCAAACTTTGAGTTGGAGCACCTCTCTCAATTACCGAACACTCTTCCGTTTTCGACTTGATCTCAAACTCAGGGGAAAGTGCCTGCAAAGGGAACTGATATGAACTGATCGTTGGGTGGCAAGCTAGCGTGGGTTCCCCGGCCGTCCTGGTGTATCATAGAGGCTGGCGAAGACTGGCGAGGTTGCAGATCTGCGGAATGCCCTGTCAACATCCACCCCAGCGACCAAACATGTTAAAGAGGTTACGTCTCGAAAGAAGGGAATGTCGCATCGAGGGTATTTGGATATGCTTCAAACACCCACACAGTCTGTTGCGGCCGCTGAAAGTTGTTAGGTGCAAGTGATTCTGCTATGCAGCCTTGCTGGGCCAGGCTCTCCTCCGTCTGGACGAGCAGAGACCATTCTTACAAGGATCCGAATCTACAGTACTAAGGAAACTGGAATTCTCAGGTACATGCGAGCTTCCGACATTGTAGCAGTGACCAGCCTCGCAAACGTCAACTCCGAGACTGGCGACCAGCTCCCGAAAAGGACCATGCGTCGGGAGGGTGCGGGCGCTCGCTAGACCGGTCTTGCACGGTTCGGCATTTAGCAATTAAATGCAACCATGAAAGATTCGCTCGGCTTGTGTCTGAGTTACTGACAGGATTCAATCGTCAAGGCCCCTCCAAAATCCTCCAAAGACTGCTGCCTGAGCTGGATGGTGCCCAAAGTCGTCCCCGGCGTCCGCGACACAATGGGCCGAGGACCTGGGGAGGAAGCTTGGGGACTTGGGAGACTTGTGCAAATCTGTTCTGTGGTTCCATCGCTGGGAAGCCTGTCTGTTTAGGAATGTGTTTTGTTTGTTGTGTTGATGTTTTGTTGTCGTGTTTTCTGCTTCTGATTTTCCGCTTTGACTATGCCTCTACTGTGGTTATGTTGCTTTCGCTGGTGTTTGCTTGTTGCTGTTCTGCCTTGTTGTTGGCATTGTTGCGCTTTGCTTGTGCCATTTGCCAGGCGCACTTTTGGATGTAGAGTATCAATAAATGGCTGTTCCGGTTTTCCATTTCATACTCCAACTGATCGTTGAGGGGGCATGTCTAAGATATATGAAGAACCGGAATCGCCAGAGAGGGATCACCAAATTGGAGGCGTGACTGAGATATATGATGAAGCGGAATCGCGTGTTTAAGAAATGATGAACAGGAATCGCCGGGCCGCACTTAGCACATATATATATATATATATATATGGGTAGGTAGTCATTCCCCCCCTGCATTTCAGCAACATCGCTTTTCTATTCACGGATTCTGCTATCTGGTTTCGAAACTAGTGTCTGTTTCGAAACATGTCCGTAGGAGGCCCCAACCCGACCCATGAACCCAATCATTTGCCCGACCCATTAACCCATAAACCCAATCATTTGCCCAACCCATTAACCCATTAACCCAATCATTCTGGGCAAATGATATTGCCTTAACCCATTAACCCAGTAACCCATTAACCCAATCATTTGCCCAACCCATTAACCCATTAACCCAATCATTCTGGCCAAATGAAATTTCCTTAACCCATTAACCCATTAACCCAATCAATCAGTTGCCCAACCCACTAACCCATTAACCCAACCAGTTGCCCAACCCATTAACCCATAAACCCAATCATTCTGACCAGATGAAATTGCCTCAACCCATTAACCCATTAACCCAATCATTTGCCCAACCCATTAACCCATTAACCCAATGATTTGCCCAAGTGGGACTGGACACTACTCCCAAGTTCATTTGGCCAGATTGATTGGGTTAATGGGTTAATGGGTTAAGGCAATTTCATTTGGCCAGAATGATTGGGTTATTAATGGGTTAATGGGTTATGGCAATTTCATTTGGCCAGAATGATTGGGTTAGTAATGGGTTAATGGGTTATGGCAATTTCATTTGGCCAGAACGATTGGGTTAATGGGTTAAGGCAATTTCATTTGGCCAGAATGATTGGGTTAATGGGTTAATGGGTCAACGGGTCGATGTGTTAATGGGTTACTGGGTTGGGGCCGTGGCAGGCGCGTGTTTCGAAACATACACTGTGTTTCGAAACTCACGCCTGCCTATACCCCGCTACAGGTTAAATGTTACGTAAACTGACAGTTGTTCCAAGCAGAGCGATCTATGTATACATATATATATATATATACATATAAGAGTATGATCAGGCCTCTGGCGTTACGAGTGTGAGAACTGACAGCACAACAAATTGATGCCCAGTTCGCTTCACCAAGTCGTCAAGCGTCAAAGCGCCGAAAGCCATAAGGATCTGTAATTCATGACCTATTCCATTAGATCATATTGAACTATGTTGTCTTGTTTTACATATGGTTCAAAATATACTTTATACTTTTCTCCCTATCCCACAGTGGCTGAAGATTTTGCAAATGCATACGACTGTGTGGTACTATGTAGCACTTATATGCTTTCAACTATATACGAAACCGAACTGGTATCTACTGTAGCCTATGCTGTCGGCTCTAGGCTATACTACAGACCGATATTGCAGACTAGACTATACACCATAATACTATACTACAGACTATATTGCAGACTATACTATAGACCGTAGGCGTTACTGTACAATGTGCTTGTTCTGGCCGAAAGACTATACCATGAGCTCGAGGAAACACTATCATACATACCATGTCATGTACTATGCTCTATAGTATACGCTATTTTCAAGGCAGTATACTACATTGTGTACTACACTAAACTTTTACAGTCACTATACTCTTCTTTCCTACACTATGCTTTACTATACAGGTGTCTTATGCGTATTTTTTTACAAGTTGCATTCTACATAGTTGACATCATGCATAAGCCCAAGAAATGGTATCCTATCATGCTGTGCGGCATATGTTAGTCTGCTACTGATACTATATTATTCCAAACATTGTGTTGTACCATCTTTTGATGCATGGGTTGTTTTGAGTTAGACACAGACCATAATGGGCTATACAACATGAGAGTATATTACAGGTGGTACCGAAGGCTTGGTTAGATATTAGATCATCTCACTATATACCGCGTCATATCATCTCACATTAAGTTGCACTATGTTAAACATCTTGGTATGATCCATTATGAATCTCATACTGACCAACAACAGGTCAAGACATACCACGCTATATCTGATGGTCGTAGACTGTATTGTGTCACATAGAGCATGCATCTGGTTTTTCTTTTCAGGTTACATTATCACATCAAAATGTTTACTGCCCCATGCCAACTTAATGCGTGCTGTATTTGAGCATATCATGTTCTATCATGGATTATGTTATATGGTACTATACGCTACTATACCAGTGTAAAGCATCAGCCGGTACATCAAGTATTTTGCAAATGAATAATGATGTAATATACTGGCGAATGCCATTCGGAAGAAAAGCAGTATTCTATCATGCTAGGTTACATTCTGTCTTGAGTCATTGTGTGGCACGACATACTACACATTTCCTAGATATTGTATGTTATATACTCTGAACCTTGTATGTGCCATATTTTCTTTCATGTGTTTTGAAAGACATGGGTTTATAATTAATTACACCATACTTCGAGGTCGAGGTGTGGGGCATGTTATACGTAATTTTGTTACAAATTGCATTCTACATAGTTGACATCATACATAAGCCCAAGAAATGATATCCTATCATGCTGTGCGGCATATGTTAGTCTGCTACTGATACTATATTATTCCAAACATTGTGTTGTACCATCTTTTGATGCATGGGTTGTTTTGAGTTAGACACAGATCATATTGGGCTATACAACATAAGAGCATATTACATATGGTACCGAAGGCTTGGTTAGATATTAGATCATCTCACTCTATACCACGTCATATCATCTCACAATAAGTTGCACTATGTTCAACATCTTGGTCTGATCCATTATGAATCTCATACTGACCACAGGTTAAGACATACCTCGCTAAATCTGATGGTCGTAGACTGTACTATGTCACATAGAGCTTGCATTTGGGTGTCAGTTACCTTATCTTTGCAGGTTACATCACATCAAAACGTTTACTGTACCGTGCTGTATTGGAGCATAACATATTCTATCATGGATTATGTTATATGGTACTATACGATACTATACCAGTGTAAAGCATCAGCCGTTACATCAAGTATTTTGCACATGAAAAATGATGTGATATACTGACGAATGCCATTCGAAAAAAAAGTTTTCTTTCCTGCTAGGTTACATTCTGTCTTATATCATTGTGTGGCACGAAATACTACACATTTCCTAAATATTGTATGTTATATACTCTGAACCGTGTATGTGCCATATTTTCTTTCATGTGTCTTGAAATACATGGGCTTATAAGTATACCATACTTGGCGGTATGGGGCATGACTGTGCACCCTTCGCACTGTATTGTATTGGGCGCAATACCGAAGATGCTGAAATGTAGGGGTGGGGGAACGACCACGTGCCCTATAATGCTGAAATTTAGCGGGGGGGGAATGACCACGCGCCCATACATATATATATATATATGCTACCCCCCCCCCCCCGCCAAGACCCGCAAGAACTAGTAAAAGATCCTGATAATTCACTCCAGCATTCCTACATGTGCTATCCACGTGTGTGCAGAATACGGTGTAGACAAGATAATCTAATGAAGTATTGCTGTTATCTGCTTAATAACTAGAATTATAAATATTTCATATTTTGAGCCACCCTAAAATTAAACATGTATTTCCGTGCTGGCCAATATTTCAGACTAAGAGCCACTATATTCAATTTTCCCCTTCCTCACTGCCATATTATCAGAACTGATTGCTTCGTTGGAAGTTCCGTAAAGCATATTTCCACAATTACTGTTTGTATGAGCCAGCCAAACAGGAACAGATAACCAAACAAGCTCCGGAGGAAAACATCGAAAAGGAAAAGGAGTGTTTCTAATTGGCAGACAGACAGACAAATCTCAATTTCAATCGTAAGCACTAAGCCCTAGAGACCTTAAACCCTGAACCCTCAGCCCTAAGCCCTAGTCCCGAAGCCCTGCGTGTAGGTTCCAGGTCCCCTTGAACGAACCTAGCTGTTGATTAACTGACTCATTCCACAATATGACATGATTTGGATGAGAAGCCTGCTGTCTTCTAGAACCATTGGCTAGCCAATTTCCCTACATCGGCTTAATCCTTTCCCGTTGTAGGAAGTCACCCCTGAGAACTGAAATTAGTATTGGGCCCGGCGTGCAGAACATTAAGCGGGATTTGGGTTCGGCCTGTTTTGCAGCCCACGAACCCTGAAATTCTACATGTCTGTGGCCTGCGGCCTGCAAGTCACCGCAGCACTACATTCTCGAAACCAGGCTGCCCGTAATCCTCTAGCTCCTCGCCTAGCAATACCTGCTCCCACATTATTACGAGTATTGACGTCAGATATTACCATCGTTGCCAACGCTCAGAGCATTTCGTTTAGCTTGAGTGGTGGTATGAGTACTAGTAATCCGTAGTAGAAATCCCTGCTGGCCACTGATATCACCAGTCCCTCGTCCTGGCTCGTAGTATTCAATGCATCCGTGATAATACTCGCAAAATCGCTGGCGTGCTACATGGGTTAGTTCAAGTAGGGACCAAACAACTCGTTCAGTTTACTGTCATAACGTCCATCATAAACTAAATTATGAAAGCACGGATATACCACTGACAAATATTGCCAGTAAATTTATTAGGTGACTGGTTAAATCAACGTTTTTGTGTATACATAATACTTTGACATACACTGTGTAAGCACCTGGAATTAGCTAATTATCTACATTACCATGGTCTGGTCATGTTTCAATCACGGGACAAGTGCATCCATTCACCAACCCATATGTTTTCAATTGCTTGCCTCTGGCATAGGGCTGTCAGAATGCAAAAGGTGAAAAACAATTACTCGGCTTGGCAGCAAGTAGACTAAATATGTGCTTAAACCGTTTGAAATGGCTAGCTCCTTATCTTGATATAAGCAGAAAATTTAACCGACATGCATTTAGATACGCCCGCATGCAGGTTAGAGGCTTCATTTTGGCAATGATAGTGGGTTCCTATACATGAGTTGGACTGATGAATGGCCAAAAGACAACTAGTCTGGCACGTGACAAATGACAATGAAGATATAAGCAGAACACTATAGAATGGGATGTTTACTTAGTATTTCAAGTATGTAATCTGATTAACCACAGGCATGAAGAAGCCACAAGAAGCTTTCACATAGGTTAACTTTTTGAATGATGCCGCTATTTGGATTTATGTTGAAAAGAAGCAAACAGGGTCTTTACACACACCGGAACAACAAATTTTTCCTGCCTTGGCACTATACCAGATTCCTTTATGCGCACATGTATCAGCCTGTGTGCTTAAGAAAGAAACGAAATCTGGATGTCATGATGTTTCACAGGTTGGCACATTCGCAAATTCGCAGATTCGCAGATTTGCAGATGACGGATACTTCAGCGGATTTGCGGATTCGCAGATTCGCAGATTCGTGGATTCGCGGATTCGCAGATTCACAGATTCGCAGATTCGCACATTCGCAGATTCGCGGATTCGCAGATTTGACAGACCATAGGTTGTGGCGCATATACAATCTTCGAATCTGCGAATCCGCGAATCTGCGAATCTGCGAATCTGCGAATCCGCGAATCTGCGAATCTGCGAATCTGCGAATCTGTGAATCTGCGAATCTGTGAATCTGCGAATCCGCGAATCCACGAATCTGCGAATCTGCGAATCCGCAAATCCGCTGAAGTATCCGTCACAGCGAGGCCCTTTGAGCATCAGATACTTACACGTCGCGTCGCGAATCCCTCAAATTGAGAAGCCCTGAAAGACCTTGAACGTTATTGCAGCTGCATCAATATGCCCCGATGAAGTTGGGCAAGTCGAGAGTACCTGACAGCGAAGCGTGGGTTTTTTGGGGGGGGGGGGGTACCATATATATATATATATATATATATATATACATATATATATGGGCGCGTGTTTAAGATATGTGACGAACCGAAATAGGCTACGTCGTCTCAGAAAGCAACAAATCAAATCTAACCTTGCTAAATGCCCGTGTTTCAGATATGACGAACGGCAATGGCTAAATGAGGGGGTGGTTTTAAGATATATGATGAACCGGAATCGCCACATGAGAGGGTGTGTTTCAGATATATGACGAAACGGAATCGCCAAATGAGGGGGTGTGTTTCAGATATATGACGAACCGCAATCGCTAAATGAGGGGGTGGTTTTGAGATATATGATGAACCGAAACCGCCAAATGAGGGGGTGCGTCCAAGATATATGATGAACCGGAATCGCCAAATGAGGGGGTGTGTTTCAGATATATGACGAACCTCAATCACTAAATGAGGGGGTGCGTTTAAGATATATGATGAACCGGAATCGCCAAATGAGGGGTGTGCTTCAGATATATGACGAAACGGAATCGCCAAATGAGGGGGTGCGTTTAAGATATGTGATGAACCGGAATCGCCAAATGAGGGGGTGTGTTTCAGATATATGACGAACCGCAATCGCCAAATGACGGGGTCCGTCATATATACATATATATGTATATGATGAACCGGAATCGACAATTGAGGGGGTGTTTTTCAGATATACGATGAACTGGAATCGCCAAATTTGGGGCACGCATCAAAGATTTATGATGAACCGGAATCGCCAAAGGACGGAGTGCGTTTGAGATAGACGACAGCGACACGGGCACCTGACATGGTCGTGGTTCGCGATTTTGAGTGAGCAGCGCGCCGGCGTAGACGTCCGCGACGCGGCGATGTGGAATGAGCACAGTGCCCACGCCTAGACCACAGAACTGAAAAGACAAAAGACTGAAAACACAAAAATTTCTTAGCGCCGATGCCTCGGCAAATCTTTTACAACCCAGAAGGTGCCCACACACCCCAAGTGAAGAAGAAACTTGCAGGCTCAGAGGGCTGCAACGTGCAAAACCAAGTGGCAGTCTTCCACTTTGCCTTGCGGAAATTTCACCTCGCCGCTGAACACTTGAAATGGGGGAGGGCTCGACATCGTTGAATGCGCAGTCCCTTTGCAAGTCTTGTCGAATTGTACTCAGAACTGCGTAACTGCGTGTTACATCCTCGTAAGGCTTGCAAGCATGCCGACTCATGGAGTGGTTTGGAACTGCAAGACATCTCGGCCAAAACAAACCGTCGAAGTTGCCCCTGAGCAGGGATGGGAATTCGAAGCATGTCCGTGAAAGCGCAGTTTGCAGAACAGGGTTGGTTCTGATTAAATAACAGTACGATATAGCATTGTGGTGATGAAGATGACCATGAGCACGATTGATGATGCTCAACGGGGTGAAATTGGCAGCTGCAATGACGGAGGACATGGCAACTAGCACAACATCATCCCGGAGCAAACCTTAAAACCTTGAAGTGACACTGCTAAGCGCCCCTGCGATGACCAGCGACAAATGCCTATGAAGCTGACTGTGGCCAGCTTGCTGCAAACTGTTTGTGACAGCTAAAAAACCACACTCGCCATCCCCAAGCACCGCAAGCAAGAAACCCCAGAGTCATCACTGCAGTGGAGGCAGTAAACACCTACCCAAGGTCTGTGACGAGCCGGTACAACCCAAATCACCCGAAGTACCTTCTGCGGAGGTTGCCAAAGCTATATACTGCTTTCCCATGTGTGATTCAGCAGAATGTGCTACGCAGTTTTGAGCTGCAAAGTTGAATCGGGAATGGTGTCGGCTGTGAAGACAAAGCTGGAAACACAAGCCGTGTGTTGGGATGTGTGTGTGTGTGTGTCGTGCTACTTACTTATCTGACATCCACTGTGATATGCGTTCGCATGCACGTGCAAGACCCGTCTTTTGCTCTAGCGACTCTAGCAGAGGCCATCGCCTGGTATAAGAAGTTCATCGGAGCCCGAAGCCTGAATCGAACACCTCCAACCTCTCACAACGAACCAATGCAAGATGACGTCTACTTTGACAAGCGATCCCAACATGGTGTGTTTCACTGGGAGCATGATCTCGAACCCCAAAACCTGAAACTTGAATACCGTGGCCTTGCTGTCACTGGCAATCATCCCCGACTCGAAGCCTCCAGGCGGTCCAGTAGACGCGTGATGAACCGAGACTTGCCAGCATTGGCCGCACCCACGACAAACCTTGGCACAGGGACTGGGGCCGAAGCAGGATCGGCTAAGCTGCAGCTGCAGCTCTGGATGTTTCTTCCATCGGAACACCGCTGAACAAGTACAGTACCGAAGCATTCTGTCAACATCAGGCCGGTCGGCCACATGCCGACATGCTGCCAAGGAACACGTCCATGCCCGATCGTGCTTCAATGATGGCATTCACTGCATGATTAATATGCTTCCCCGTCTCGTTGCTGACAAGCTTTACCTTGCAGCATTGCGCAGTCGCACGTCCCATGCTGCAGACAGGCTAAGAGTGGCTATGACACTGGAAACCCAGCCAATTACAAGTCCTTGCCTTGGGCACCTGGGACAAGATGCCTTCTGAGACAGTGGTCTACCAAACACTTCCCCCTCCGTTCTCCAGGTGGCATTCACAACTCGCAGCTTCTTCCTGCGCAGTATGTACAGCAGCCACTTCTCTACCAGTTCCAGCTTCGTCTTGGGTGGCAGGAGATCCTTGCATGGGCGGACGGTGAGGAACCCGGGACCCCGGAGTCAAAAAGACCGACTGCGACTCATAGCCTATTCTCGGCATTTCCCTTTTGCGACAACTGGAGAGCTATCAAAGCCTACAATCCTCAACGCCCTCAAACTCACACTCTTCCAAGCCGTGCATCAATCTTGGTTCCGACCAAGATCACCGGATTCTTCCCGACAATCTGGCGGATTTTGCCTGACAGTCCGCGACCCGGACCCAAGCTTCAAACCTAATCATGCCCTCACAAAGCATGTCGAAAGCTACGAGGGTCGAAGTCCTGGCCACTGGGTCTTTCAGAAATTGCAGAGCACGCTGTTACATAGGCCAGGAGCGTATAAACGAGCCGTTGAAGTCAAGCACATCCACGATGTACCTCGAGGACGGGGCAAAAAGGCATGAAGGATCCTCATTTCGAGGGTTGGCTGAAATTTGAGGCCTATTTCCGCAAGCTGCGGCAAATTCCTTCCCTGACCTCTAAGGCTGTGTCGTGGACCCACCCGCCTGTGCACAACCACGCCTGACTTTCGTATAGCAAGCCCTTATTGGACCCCCTAAATATGATCTGATCCATCCTGATCCCATTACCCAAATGAAAGAGCTGCGTCGATCTACAAAACTAATAAACCTGGCCGAGCTGGCACAACCAAACAGCGCCGCTTCGAGATGGTCCGCAACTGCTGGGCCAGAACGTCTGCCGGTACTACCTTGAAGGCCCAGGGCTCGGCAGAGTTATTCTGGTTGCAGGGGTATCGCTCGGGCTTCGTCGGGTTCCAAAACACGGCAAGCTGCCTTCCCTCCAAAGCCAACTTGGCCTTCGGCCATCACCTCCTGCGGCACCAGAAAGCATTTCACGCTCTCGCAACTCAGACGAGGTCGCTCGGTCCGAATTTCCAGAGATGTCATGGATTCTGGTAAGTCCGACAGAGGCTGCTCGAAACATTGGCCTCACTTCAACCGTGCAGTGGGCTGGGCTGGGAACACAGTGCACCGCACGCCTGTCTGCAGTCTTTTCCGACATGGCCCAAACTCGACACTGCAATCCTTCACCACCGGGACCAGTTGACCTTGCTCCAGTTCCAGGCAGCGGGAGCAAAGCAGCTTCCGGTGTAGGCCTGGGCTTTCAGGTGTCAAAAACTCCTTGAGAATACGCTCAAGACTCTAGCCGTTCCGTTCACACGAACTCCAGACCTCATGCAGCAATGCACACAGGTGTGTTTTCACCCAAGGAATGTGATGGAATGTGTGAAACATGCCCAAGCAGCGCTGCGACCACTTCTGCAGATAGTTCGAGAAGCGCACATAACCTCTTGAGTTTCGACATGCGGCTCTAGCCGTTGATGTGGTTGCTAGTTCAACTTTGATTTTGTGGGAGGCTGCTGGCTTGGGAGTAGGGGATGCGCACCTTGTCAACGATGAAGATCTCCATACTTAACAGGTCTGAGCTAGTGACAAGTGCAAGTTATCGCTTAATGCTGCATTCTCGGCGTTTCGTGTCAGGCCCGAGGGAAAGCTCCCGGAACGTCAGAACAAGTAAAGTATGTCCAAATTGTCCGAGATTACTTCTCAAGTCTTGCATAACTCCAGAATCTAGAAGATGCTCTTCAAATTCTTCACAAAGCTGAATGCAAGGGAAAACCGCTTATGTAGCTGAACCGAGGTCTTCCAAAGGCTGTGCATTGAGTCTTGTCAAAAGAACTTGCTTAGACCTACGCCAATCAAGAACCTCTCGTGCAACCGCCTGCAGTGAAAAGAAGATGTGGTTAGGAAGTTTGGGGTCGCGGGTCTTCGCGGCAATCATATTAATATATATGTCATCCATAGTTCAACACCAGGAGCTTGTGAATATAAACCTCTCACGCAGTGGTGGCGGATAAACAATGTTTACGTCCTGTCTATTGTCAGGACGGCATGCCTTCAAACAAAACGAAAGTACTGCATGTCACTTTTTTGTGTGCCGGACGAAAATAACAAAGTTCTAGAACGGCGCAGCTGGTGCCATCAGGACTCAAAATGACTCAACCCATTAATTACTCCTGATACTGGAATCGCTATACAAAGACTGCAAGAGAACCTGACAAGGCAACTCGAAACAAGGAGTCGTGCACTCTCAGCTGAGCTGCCTGCCGTTTCACTGATCTGGTTCTTGATAGTGCTGTTTTCGCACGGATGCATGAATGGTTACTGCAATGATATCTTATGGGTGCTGCTGCTCCAGTGCCGGAGATCCCTGCCCGGAAGTCTTAACGAGTAATTATGCACTCGCTCTGTACCTTCGCTTCTTCGAACGGTGGTGGTTTGAACATAGCCTTAATACTGAATGCTTCCTGACTCTACAGGACAACTTGTGCCCCCGGAATGCAAAGACAAGCTGCCAACGTTGTCTGGGTCATGCGTCTGAAGCGGGATCCCGCACCCGCGGCAGCAAATCAATCGCCTGGGATGCGATGCTTTCTGGTAAAGCCCTGACCCCATATTCAGCTCCTAACTCGCACGGACGGTAGACCTCGTAGCGAGGTGGCATCATGGAAAGCAAATTCTATTCACAAGGCTTCCAGCATCTCCACACGATACTGATACGTGCAAGCAGCCCGTTTGATGTGCAAGCAGCCCATGTGATGCACTATGATGCACCAAGTCCGGCAGACTGCGCAGTTTGTTTTACGAAGCCTGGCCTCAATGATTGAACCGGATGCCTTGTGACCTCTCGCGCAACCTGCACGCAGCCCAAGTCTGACCAGTGCAGGATGCTCTGATGCTTTGCTGGCCCGCGTCATGAGGTCCTTGCTGGCGGAGGTTTTCGACTTGGCCCCTCTTCCGTCTTGAGCAGAGAGCACGATTAGATGTGCAAAGAGGATAATCCGTGTCCAGGCCGGCCGTGACCGAGCCTACCAAACCCGAAATCTGCTAAAGGCTGGCTTGCATCGCAACCTCAGTTCCCAGGACTCGACGATATGAGTTTGCAGTTTACATACACAACCTCAGTTTAATCCTCCACGACATGTGGTCGTGCGCTCCGGAGCCTTGCAGACCATGAAATGTTAGGCTTGAATCGGCAACCTGGCCCTGGAATCAGCACAGCTCAGGATCAATGCCCTTGGTGAGTGGGTTGTCCGTGTGCGGATCGAAGATGCCAGGGTTGTTCCTCGAAGCAACAGCCTATACTTGTGCAGAGCGCAAGCCACCTTTGGGTGGGGCATTGTGGGGCATGAAACACAAAATGGTATAGCCTGGCTGTGACTGCTCAGTTTCTCAGGTGTGCCTGCTTGCTACTTAAGTTGGCTTGACTTGTCGACGTCCAAAGAAATCTTGTTTTCTCGAGCACAGAGGCAGAAATATTGGGTTGAGCCTGGCTGAAGGGGCCGGCAGCGAGACAAAGCCTGCCAGTCAGGATTTTCCTTACTATGTGAGCGCAGCAAAACGAAGCAGCCATGGCTCCTCCGAGAGTCCGGCACGAGCTCATCCACCATGGCCTACGACAGGCGTGAGGACTCTGACCGGCGGCGGTAGTGCTGCTAGTGTTGGATCGCTCCAAACGCATAGTAGAACCACAAGTTCCAGCAGCGGATTCGGTTCGCAACCGAGCACAGAGTCAGAGGCACCATGCTTCCACATCCTTCGATCCTGCAGTACCCACGAAATCGGCGGGGCCTCAAGCTCCTCGCCAGTAGGGCCGTCTGGATGCCCAGCATATGGGACACCCTTCCTTCGAGCAGCTCTGAGATTGGGGCAAAGAGGCGGTTTGGGCTGCCCACTAGTGACTATGATCGGAATGAAGGCCGATATCATGACCATCATCATCTGCAGCAACATCACCGGAGACAGTCTCAAAGCGTAAGAGCAATACCAGAACCGGTGGTAGAATGCATGTAGTTGACATCATCTGCCAGAGTGTTTGGAGCAAGAGAAGGAGCTTCGATCGGTACAAGGCTCAAGTATTCTTTTTGGCTCAAGGTTTGCGGGTGGGGCAGGGGTCTTTTGCGGGGGGGGGTGGGGTCCTTGCAACAATCGGGCATAGGGATTCGGGCTTACAAGAGTCTACATTCGCGTCCCGTACTTCCCGTCTCATTTCTCGAAGGCTCGTGCTCGGAAGTCTCCTCGGTGCGGCTGGAAGCTCCAGCTGCCTTTGTAAGCTCAGTGTTCAGATTTCAAGGCATCTGGGAGGGTGGTGCATAGGTCTTGATAGCACCTAGTTGGTCCTACAACTGTCCTACGCAAGATGACCAAGAGGCCGCAGCAGCATGCGGCCGATGTCACAATGCCATCAAAAGGCTTTACTCTAGCCAAGCATTCATGCCCACCACTTCTGCTCATTCTACTCCGACCCAGCCGATTGGCCTACTGAGCTCGATTTTGACGCGCCCCCATCCCAAGCCACAGCACCATACGGCAAACCAGAAACATGTGTGAAACGAAAGAGAAGCTGTGAAAAGCTCATGCACGCATCATGGCTTATTTAGGTTGAAAACGACGTAAGCACAGGCCTTCTCAACTTGTCCAGGTCGTCCTGTGCAGGGGCCGTGAAGTCTGATTGCAAAACCTCGAATCTACAATTGATAGTGATGTGCCTGCAGCTTGGCCGCCGAGCAAAGGCTTCGTCACGTGACCCATCGCTCACACAGTCGCTTTGGGAGGCTTACTAGCACAAGGGACGAAACTGCCAGCGAGGTCGAGACAATCTGCCAACTAATCTGAGGCAGCTCAGCAAGATGCTATCTACACACATCTAAGACACCTCGAGCGCACCTCCAATTGGGAGGAGTCTCGTGCCGCTCGTCGGGCGACGGCTGCACACAAGCACCAAGGCACCTTGGAAAGGAACAAAAGAGACCACGAAAGCCGCAAGGACCGTTGTAGTATCTTAAGGGTTGTGCTCCTTAAGTGGTGATCGCGGAGCTGCAGTGGAGCCGCATGAGAAAATGCTTGCCGACACCAGTTGCTTGCTTGCTGAGCTGCGAGCATCCGTTTGATACAGAGTAATACAACAGTTTGCTCTGTCTTTTTAATCTTTGGAGAAGCCCACGCCCACACTTGCATCTCGCAGTGATCGACATTTCCACCGAAGTATATAGTAAATGCTCACAGCATCCTAAATGGAACTATGTCTATGTGCTGTGCTGCTATTTAGCAGCAGTCCTTTCTCCATAAGGGGTGTCCCTGGAATCGACCCTTTGCGGCCCCGGTGCTGGCCAGCATGCCCATCCTGGAAGCTTACTCGAGGGGAGCCTGGCGCCGCGGACTTGGAGAAAGGACGCGCCCTGCTCTGCACTTCGAGAACTCGAGGGCAAAATGACTCCAACGTGACGACATCCATGCACCGTCAGACACTGCACCCGCCTTCCCGCGTAATGTGTCGTGCCGAACAAAACCATGCTGCAGTGCAAACAAACTCGCCCTCTCTGCTCGACCCATCGGCCAGGCGGAATCCCCAGCAGCGCAACGGGCCCAACTCGTCCGAAGCCTCTCTGCTCGGCAGCTTCGCATATGGATTGTGATGCTGTTGGCATTGGAGGGTAAGATACGAGCTCTTTCCATGCAGACGTGTATTCGATGTCTTCACCAGACTTGGGGCATGCCCAGTACACACACAAACACGACATAACAGTGATGCTACTTCGAGTGAGGCCCTGAGCACTACGATGGTAAAACGGAATGCCTGAGACACAACTGCTAGCCTGCACCAGTCATTCGAAGGAAAACCGCGAAAAGTCACTTACCGGGGCTTGCGCTGGCACGAGGCCGACTGGTCGCGGCCGCCACCTGCACACCTCCGGTCCAAGTGCTGCGGCCCGGCAATGTGAGTGCGGAGTTGAAGCAAAACCTTCCCGTTGCCCAACACCAATGTAACTGGAACTTGAAACTAAAGTCGCAAGCTGACACGAAGCCCGCAACGCCAAAGCGGCACAAGTTGTCCAATGGAGCTTCGGCCCTTGTCCAGAAGGAATCGTACATGGTGTCAATCTGTCAACTCCCGACCCCTATAAAGCTGTCTCCCTGCAGCCCTCCAGAAGTCTGCAAGCACCACGAGGCCCTGAAACAAGATGCCTCCTTTGCCACAGTGCCAGGGCTCCACCATGGCGACAGCCCCGAGAACCACACAAATCTGTTCCAATACGTAGCTGTGCAGCGAAGGCAATTTTGGAACTCCTTTGGTCGAGCAGTAGTATTCGAGCACAAACCCAAAGCGCTGGGTGAGGCTTGGAGTGGCTTTCGGGTCGTGCTTGACTAACAACAGCAGCAGGTAACATGCTTCGCTTGAACACCGTCCCCACAAATGCTGCTCATGCATTCTCCTCTTTGAGCAGCCACAGCTTGGATGCTACTGGAGAACCAGCCACAGAGGGCAAAAGGACGACGATAAAAGGACGACGATGACACCGGCGCTTCTGTGTACAGGATGTGTACACTTTGCGAGCTGAGAAGCAGGTTCAAACTCCACTTGGCCACACATTTGCGAGGCCTCCTGTGGCAGAGAAGCCATCGCCTGAATTGCATGGTCATCTCAGACATCTCCGCAACTGCCACCCTCCAAGGAAAGCCTTTCTCTGAGCAAAAGTGTCACGGAGTACCCGTCAGTTGGCGGCGCACACACACACACAGAGACACACACGGACACACAGACACAGACACAGACACACACACACACACACACGCACACACACACACACGCGCAGATATATATATATATATATATATATATACACACACACACACACACACGCACACACACACACACACACACCGACCGGCACCTCATCGTCGAACACGTATGACAAACCCGATGCCTCCTCGCCAAGCTGGGAGGACCCTGAAGCAACTGCCCACCTGACCTTCAGCTGCCCGGTAGCATCAGCTTTTGGTGAGCTCCTGGTTTCAAAGGAGGAGCAGCACAACAGTTGGTACAGAGTCATTGATCACGGTGCTTAGCAGCAAATAAACTACTGAAACCCACCGAACACTTGAAGGAACATGTGGCCACAGCTACAGCGACATCTGCCCTCGAAAACTCAAGATGGAGGCAAGGCGGAGCGCCCTCACTCAACTCGCCCCACTACCTAGACCAGGAAGTAACTAACTCTTTGTTGTATTTCTGTATCCTCGTAGATTCAGTACGAGATGCTGCACCTGATTGGCATAGTCCTTTGCAGTTTTTTGTTGGTGTTACTAGACTGTCTATCTTGTGGCATGTACGTTACATGGGCATGGTGTGCAGATAAATACCAATACTTGCTTAACTGGCGATAAGTGTCTCTGCTTTCCCTAAACACCAGTGTACATCATGTTGCATGTAGTGATAGTGTCCAAAGCCGATCTTACTATATGCTTATGCTCGGTGCAGCCCACGCACACAAAAACAAGTTGATGCGAGCTCATAAGATGGTTGGTACTGCAATGCTCGCAAACTCGCGCAAACACTCGTCCACAGTAAAGTATCGCCAAGCATTTAAACCAATGGATATGCTTCATATATACTCAAAACTTAACGGTGGCTGCTGTATACAGACGAAGGCTGCTGTATACAGACGAACACTGAGCCCTAGATGCGATTTCAAAACCAGCTTCTTGTGCTGCAAACTCTTGTTTACAGCTACGCACAATCGCATGCTACGAAATGCGAAGTGAGCGCACAGCACTCGATCTTGTTGTCGTGTCACACATTCGATCTCAGCATGCCATGATGTTGTTGAGTGATTCAATGCACGTATGCGCACGCATGTATGCATGCATCGCGTGCATACATCGGCAAATGTCGCTGTAGACTCGGTTGATTAATTAA